GTGTGTCAGCCTACCATTACAGGTAAGTTTTTTTTAGTGTAACAATGTTTCTAATACCTTATTATGAATATGACTATAATTCTGAATGCCATACAAAAATTTATAACAATTTATGGGGCGCCTAGGTGGCTCAGTAGATTAAGCATCCAACTCTGGTCATGACAGGTCATGAACGATCTCAGGGTCGTGAGACTGAGCCCCGCCTCAGTTCTGCATTGGGCCTGGAGCCTGCTTAAGATTCTCTCTCCCTCTCCCCCTTTTCCTCCCCCATCCATGCCCGTGTGCATGTGCGTGCTCTCTCTAAAAAAAAGAAAAATTTTATAACAATTTATTCATTAGAGTATAGGCTAGATTGCCATGAAGCAATCATACTGCTGCTTCTTCATTATCAATACCTGAATTGTTATACCTGTAAATAAATATGAATTTCTTTTTCACATTACCTTTTCTTTTTGATGTCTAGTGTTATTAATATGCATAACATCTACAGTGTTTTATATCATATAAGACAATATTGATGTAGGTACTAACTGATGACTCGTCTTATAAACAGACAACATAAACTACAGTATCAAAAAATACAGTATGGGGCGCCTGGGTGGCTCAGTTTGTTAAACGTCTGACTCTTGATTTTGGCTCAGGTCATGATCTCAGAGTTGTGAGAGAGAGTCCTGCATTGGGCTCCATGCTGGGCTTAGAGTCTGCTTAAGGTTCTCTCTCTTCCTCTGCCCCATCCCTCTCTAAAAAAAATAATAATACAGTATAGTACTATAAATGTATTTCTTCCTCCTTATGATTTTCTTAGTAACATTTTCTTTTCTCTGCTTACTTTATTGTAAGACTATAGTACATAACACATATAACATACAAAATATGTGCTAATCAACTGTTTATATTATTGTTAAGGCTTCCGTCAACAATAGGCTATTAGTAGTTAAGCTTTTGGGGAGTCAAAAGTTATATAAACATTTCTGACTGCATAGGGAGTCAGCACCCCTAACCCCCTGCATTGTTAAAGGGTCAACTGTGGTGTCGAAGTTCTACAGTTTAATAGAAGAGAACTAATAATCCCTAATCAGTACACTAGAGCATGTTTAGTATTAGAGGAACTTAGCACGAAGCAGTTCTTTTTGAACATCATTCACTGCAATTTAGCTTCCAGAGTAAGGAGAAGAAACAGGGGGTGGGGGCAGAAACAATAATGTAGCCAATAAGTCATAAAAAGGGGACTTGAACATAGATCTCCTAATTCCATATATAATGCAGTATCATGATATTAATCTTGAAGATAACATCGTTTTGAGATTCCAGAAGATCTATGATATTCGTTGAATTCATAATTTTAAAAAAAATCAGCCAGTAATGCTGATAAGAACTCAGAAGATAGCAATGCTTTAGCATTCCACTTTTTTTCTCTCATTTTGGGGGAGGGTAGCATCTGAGACACCCCAAATTAAATGCAATACCTCAAAGATAGTGGCCTAAGTAGTTAGGGTTTTATTCTTCTCAAATATCAGGGGTTGTTATTTTCTAGTACTCCTCCAGGACTTCTCTATAAAGAAAATTCATAATGTCATTTTATATAACAGGTCTGGATAGACACTAAAACTTTTCTTCTTTTCGTTTCTTTCTTTCTTCCCTCCTTTCTCTTTCTCTCTTTTTGATATTGTAAATGTTTATCAAGGTAATACATGTAAATACTTTAAAAGTTATGTGGTTTAAAAAAATCATGTGCAACTACAAGACTCATAACAAAACAAAGCAGGGGTGTATTTTAACACACACACACACACACACACACACACACACACATATCTTGGAGAGAAAAAAAAAAGCAGTAGCTTCCTCAAAGCCTGAGACACTCTACCAGACTCTTTTACTTGCTTCTTTTCATATTTACCAACATTTTCCTAAATAAAATATTTATACTGCTATTTCTTGATTTGTAAATTTTAAAAAGTACCTATTACAAAAAATAAAGATCCAACATCTTATACCTTCCTTCCCTCCAGCCTCCCAATAGTTATATCTCAATATTTTTTTTATTTTTTATTTTTTAAAATGTTTTATTTATTTATTCATGAGAGTCAGAGAAAGAGAGAGAGAGAGAGGCAGAGGCAGAGGGAGAAGCAGGCTCCCCGCCTAGCAGGGAGCCTGATGCAGGATTTGATCCCAGAACCCTGGGATCATGACCTGAGCCGAGGGCAGATGCTTAACCATTTGAGCCACCCAGGTGCCCCTATATCTCAATATTTTTAATTAAATAAATGTCCCATGTTAAACTTATTATGATTCTATAAGTGTGTTTTACTTCTGGATCAGTTAGTTCTATCATGATTACATTTACTTTCTTATAAAACTTTTTTTTTTAAGATTTATTCATTTATTTGAGAGGGAGGAGAAGCAGAGGGAGAGGGAGAGAATCTCCAACAGATTCCCCGCTGAGCATGGAGCCCGATGCAGGCATGCAGGCTTGATCTCACGTCCCTGAGATCATGACCTGAGCCAAAATCAAGAGTCGGACGCTCAACCACTCAACCGACTGAGCCACCCAGGTGCCTCTCTTACACGACTTTTTGTTTTTCTTGGAATTAATAATTGTCTCAGTTTTTTGTTTGCTAAATTTTCTGTATTATTATCACTAATTCTTTCAGGGATATAAAAATGCTGAAACTATTTTCAACACAGTCAAACGTGTCAGATAACTCTATCAGTTTCGCTGGAAACACTCCACTGGAGCACTCCTTTCAGTCCAGGCAGTTCCTCCCTCCCTCTGCTGTATAGCTGTCATCTTGGGATTTCCTTTTGCCTCTTGCCTAGATTAATCCCATTTCTTAAAACTTCTAGTTTTGTGTTTCTTATTTCAGTAGAGTATATCCTCCAGTAGTGTCCCAGGAAAGGCTGGGAGGAGATGGGTAGTAAATTTTCGATCCTCGCATGCCTGAAAATATCTTTGTCTCTCACACTTGATCATAAGATTTAGCATAGAATTCTAGGTTGAAAATCATTTTCTCTCAGAATTTTGGGAAAGCACCAATTCACTGTCTTCTAGCAACCAGTGTTAATGTTGAAATATATGAGACTCTTATTACCTATTCTAAGTAACCCATTCCCCTTTCCCTGCTCCGTCCTCACCTATCACCAAGATTTGATCTTTTTATCTCTTGTGTTTAGAAATTTCATGATGATGTGCCATAGTACCTTTGGTTTTGGTTTTTTCCCTACGTTATGTTGGGCACTCAGCAGGATCTGTCAATCTGGAAACTCATGTCCTGAAGTTACTAGAGATTTTCTTGTAATTTCTTTGATAATTTCCTTCCCTCCATTTCTTCTGTTTCTAGAACTCCTATTAGCCTCATGTTGGACTTTATGAATTCATCTTTTAATGATCTTTTCTCTCTCATTTTCCATTTCTTTTTGTTCTCTTTTCCAGGAGATTCCTCAATTTTACATATTAATACTACTTTGAATTATTTATTTTTGCTATTATATTTTTAATTTCCTGGAGCTATTATCCTCTGATTGTTCCTTTTTTGGAGCCTCTTGTCTTTGCTTTATGGATACAAGATCTTATAATTATTTCTCAGAGGATTCTTACTGTTTTTTTTTAAATCTATTCTTCTGCTCTCTCTGTTGTCTCTGCTATCCTCTGAGTTTCTCTTTTTCTCTTCCATTTCTATTTGATGCTGTCTTTCTTGGTGAAGGTTTATCTCAACTATCTGGTGATCCTTTGCCGTCCCTTCATATCTAAAAGTGAGTTACTACAAAGGTATTTGGAAGCTCTGTGTTAACAGGAAGAGTTTGTCCATTGGTGGGCTTTATTGTGGGACGATAAGGTGGGGACCTATTTGTTTTGTTGGCGGACACTCAAGTATCAGTATCTATGGATCTTCCTTCTGGGATTTTTCAATTTTAAGTTTCTCCCAAAATTAAATCTCTGTTCTGCATGGAGAATATCAACCTTGCTGTCAGCATTCCCAGAGTGAAATAGATAGAGAGGGCTTGGCAAGTTTCATCCTTCAGCAGGTAGACATTCATCCGATCTCTGTTTTCAGTGTGGTATCCTCTTATTCCAGCCTCCCCAGCTATAATCTTTAGCTGTGCCTGGTATCTCGGTCTGGAGCTTTTCTAGTTCAATTTTCTTTCCCCCCACAGAATAAACCCCAGGGCTCTGCCAAAGAAATGGAAAGGTAGTTGCTTAACTGAGCAGGAGGAGGAAAGGACCTCGTAATTTAACTTCCTATATAAACCTTCAACCAATCCCCCTCTTTTCAGCCTCTCAGATATCTCTGCTGCTGTCATATTTGCTCCTTCCAATTCTAGTGTTCTGCAATATGAGACTGCTTGCCTTTCATTAGTATATGCCTCTCAAGCATTTGGAATCCAGTTTCCTTAGCTCAGCTTTCCATCTTCCAAAAATTTGTTAATATACCTCATCTGCTATTGATTTTTTCTCTTTGTCCTTGTGGGCAGATAGCTTTTAAAATATTAACTCACAGGGTGCCTGGGTGGCTCAGTCATTAAGCGTCTGCCTTCGGCTCAGGTCATGATCCCAGGGTCCTGGGATCGAGCCCTGCATCAGGCTCCCTG